AGAGGCCGCTGTATTTATGTCCACAACGGGCCTTTTTCCTAGTGTGGGATAAATGCCGTTGTAACATCTGTCTCCCCGGTAACTTCTATTTTCATTTTTTTTTAAATAAAGATTTTATTAACTCCCCTAAAAAGGGGAGGAGTTTCGCTTAAAAGAAAAATAGGGGGGGTATATAGTGGGAGAAAGAGAAAGCTGAGTGATGTTAAAACTGGTAAATTAATCTGTTAGTTATGTTAAAAAAATAATAAAGTTTTCTTGGGCTTCTTCGTTACGTTGTCAAACTTCTTTCTTCAGTCCAGGTAGATATTAAAAGTTAGTATTTTTTAATAATGTCCCGATGGTGCTTAGTTAGTAATGTCTTTTCTGATGTTATTACGCCAATCCTTGACGGGCCGTCTCCTTTAAATTCCTTGCTTGGGCAGACGCTCCCTCCTCTTATTGCTTTCACCGGCTTCTGCGTTGCTGATCTCACTTTCGCTTACAAATTGCACACGCTGCAATCCTTGTTCTTTCGTGCCTCTTCGGAGGGTCTCTAGCTTCGAGAAAGTATTAATCCTTTTTATATCTTTCGATTTTAAACGCTCCATTCTCTTAGCTGGACCTTCTTTCTACCATTGTTGACTTTTAAAAGCGCTACCAAGAGCACTTTTCTCGCTTGTCACAATTCTATTCACAGTTCTCAGTCAAGGTTACAGTAACTCGTATTCTGTTTATTAAACAGCCGGTTCTAACAAAGAACAGAAACGCCTCCAGCGGAAGTTCCACCTTTCTTGTTCGATAGTTACTTAGTCCAATTCCGACATCTTGTTTTATTGTTTACTTTTAACACCGTTCAGACAGCACATTTTAAAAAACGAAAATCTTCCCTTTTCTTTTTCTTTTTCCATGTGCACCAAAGGGAAATCGCTTCTTTTCTTACATTCCGTTCTCCCCCCCCCTTTTTTCTCTTTGAAAATCTCTGTTTATCGGAGTGAAGGGATCCCCTCCCACTCCTTTATTCCGCTGGGGGGGGGGAGACGCGCTTAAATCGCTTTTTTCATATTTGACAACTCACGGTTTCAGCCACTCTTTTTCTTTTATCGCTTCCTTCCATTCGCTTCATCACTCGGTGACGTCTGGTGGCTCCGCTAAACCCCGTTCGGGGTCGCTCACGCAGCGAGGTCCATAGGGGCAGGGCATGGCGAGAGCCTCAATTTCCGACCGTTTGGCCGAGAAAGAGGCTCCCCCCTTGAGCGCCCTAACGCGCCCCGGATCCGAGCTCCTCTCAACTGAGGTGCTCGTTCGAGTCTCCGCCTGCGCGGAGACCCTCCTCAACTACGGGCGGGCGAGACGCCCTCGGGAGCGACCCGAGGATGCGTCCGCCATTCGCGGGAGCCAGACCGGAAGCCAGTAACTTCTATTTTCAAAGAGCCAGACTTCAGTTCGATCAGCCCCTGGGAGAACGTCAGCTTGTGGGAAAAGCACCCTCTTTTGGGTATCGAAATCTCATTTGCAGGAAAATGCTGGAGTTAGAGCAAAACCTGGTGATGATTAATTTCCTCCCCCCGCCCCCCATTTCTTTGAACAGCCAGTGTAGTGTAATGGGTAGGGTGTTGATTTAGGATCTAAGGGAATTGATTGCAAGTCAGCTTGCTGGAAGACCTTGGGCCAGTCACTGTCTCTGAACTTAATCTACCTCTCAGAGTTGTTGTAAGAGTAAAATGAGGAAAGAAGAACCATGGATGCTCCTGGTGGAGGAATGGGACAGATACATCCTAGATACAAGCTAGTGGTTTGGGGTTTTTTTAATGCACAGATATATTTTAGCGTGCCAGCTAAATCTGAATGGCTGGATTTGGAGGAAAAAAATATTGTTAAAAATGTATAGAATCCTATTGGACACTAAACATAACAGTATTGACCTTCTATAAAATGGCAAAATGCTCAGGAATGTAAAATAACTGCAGAGTTTTAAACAAACAAACAATATGGATGGGAGACCCTTAACACTTGGATGGGGGACCACCAAGGAAGCCCAGAGCTGCCATTCAGAGGCAGGCAACGGCAAACCACCTCTGACGATCTCTCGCCATAAGTCAGCTGTGACTTGACTGCACTTTCCACCACCATACATATATTTATTATAACAACATTTATTTTATAATAATCCTGCAGTGGCACTTCAGGCCCTGGGGAAATCACAGAGATCGAAATTGGACAGCACTGTTGCTGGTATTGTCAGAATGATAGACCTCCCTTTTCCCCACAAGTGATAGACATGCAGTAAGGCCTGTGTTTTTGCAGGGAGGACGACATCTCGTGTCCTCTTAGCTCTGATAGAATATTCAGCTGCTTTTAGGCCTGTCATGATTTGAGCTGTGCCACCAGAGGCCTACTAGGCCCAGGGAGCCTGGCTAGCAGTAGGTGAGGCTGGGCCTACAACTCCCAGAAGCCCCTAAGAGGTTTTGGAGCCAAAATTGATCAATAGGAAAAGAGGAGGGCTTGGAATAAAAGATCTGGAGCAGCAGGAAAAGCTGTTCTTCTTCCCAGAAGGCAGAGCCAGAAGGAAGGCTGCTGCAGAAAGAAACCCTCATCCTGAGGGAAGAGTGAGTAGTCTAAGGACACTACAGATAGTGAGCTAGGGACAGTATATTTAGACGCATAAGGGCATTTGATTTATTTTCTTTTCACCCACTTAGTTATTCTGCACCTTGTTGTTTGACCTCCTATAAAATAAACCGTTTTCTTGTTGTACTCTGCCTGGTCCTCCTGCCTATTATTCAGCCAAAAGGGAGGTCTGAAGGTCTTGGGAGGGTGCTCTAAGCCTTCTCAAGGGATCCTAAATCCAGAGTGGTGACAGCGTCAGCGTCAGCGTGGTGGCACCTGAGCCATGACAAGGCCTAAAAATCTCTCTGTTTACTTACCTCAACAATGATATTCCTGTGAGATTTTATGGTCTGGCATGATGTTTAACTGTAGCAACAAGATTAGCCTGTGCTTAATAGGGAAGGATGCAGACAAGCCAGCACATAACTAGACTGTGAAGGTTCTTCCCCTGAGATGATAGTATAACCTATAACAAAACAGGTGGAGGGTAGCTCCATTGATAGCTAGCAGCCAGGGAAATTGTGTTTGGCTGAATACAAGGAGTGGGGTTATTTGCCAGCTATCCCTATGGGGCTGTCACTGCTTTTTGTTGTTGTTCAGTCGCACAGTCCTGCTCATAGTCATTGCTCTGAAATTAATGGGGTGCAGGATTATCCCTGGGAATACACCAGCCCTAACTGCCCATCTCCTATGCCACAGGCTCAGAGAATGGCCACGTTGGCCCCAGCATTTCCCCCCTGAAACCCAACTGATGATATGGGAGGACTGGCGATTCTTAGTCGGGCAGCATTCCTCAGGGGATGTACCTGTCAGATTCAGCAGCAAGTAAATCTCCACACACACGTTTCCTAAGAAGCGTTATGCTTTATTAGACTACAGGTCTGTCACCATGTCCACAAGGTTATTGTTAGGAATGACATTAAGGTGGGACCATCCCTTCATATAGCAGGATGAGGCAAATGGCTAAGCAAATGAAATCCGAGCGCACGGGCGGGAAATCTCCTGGCGGGATGTTACATAATAAGCGGGAGAGTCTCAGTGCTCCATGAGAGCCGAAATATTCACACCAGCGGTGGAACGCAAGCCCTCCCCTCGTCACAAGGACAGACAGATAACTCAGTCTGGCAGCACTGGTTCTCACGGTCTCCCGTTCGCTGTTTACAGCAAGCGAGCCGAGCAGCGAGCATGCGCCGTAGCGCCAGGGGCGGGGAAGGGATCAAGCAAAACATGGCAGCTAGCTGACACTTAATGCCTCCCGTGTTCAGTCTCGCTGCTCACCAGTCGGCAGGAGCTCAGAGTGTGAAATATTTATCTCCCATATAGAGCACTCTTCGCTATAACCAGCCACCTGAAAAATGTGACGCTTTTACTTTGAGTGTGGAGACTTTGCCGAAAGAATGTGACCGGACTACCAGGAAATATTTCGATATTCACCTGCAAGTGAGGTACTGTACTTGGGGGGTGGGAATGGGGGTTCCTGAGGAGCTCAAAGCTGGTGGGAAGCAGTTCGGGGAGCATGAATATTTGTTTGACAGTTGTCTAAAGCAGCCTTCTGTTCAGCA